AGGTCGCCGCGGAGCACCCACCCAACCCAAGCGGTCGGCCCACGCCTACCACACCCACCTGGCTGAGCTACGGATCTTGCTCGCGCCACCGACGGGCGCCGCCGGCACGTGCGTCTCCTCGGCGTCCTCCTCCAGCGCCGAGAGCGGCTCGTTGAGCGAGCCCAGCGAGTTGTTGGTGCGCCGGCCGACGAAGCGTCGCTCGCCGGCCGCCGCATTCGAGTCGTCCGCAACGGACCGCGGGCCTCGTCCGACGCCCGGCGCGCCTTCGTCGGCCGGCCGGCCTTGCTCGGCGGCGGCGCGTCGGAGTCGGAGTCGGAGAAGGCGGCCGGCGGCGGCGCCGGCCGGCCGGCCAGCTTGTTCTCCTTAGCGCTCTCGCTCTCCGACAGGCTGTCGCTGATGTACTTGCGCGACGCCTTGGTGGGCACGGGCGGCCGCGGCGGCGGCGCCACGACCGGCGGCGGCGGGCGCGGCTCCTTGCGGCGCGCGCGGCGCCGCTCCGCCGCCGGCTTGCGGACGGCCGGCGAGCCGCGGCCGACGCCGCCGCCGGCGGCGGCGCCGGGCGGCTGGAGTCGCGGGCACGGCTCCGCCGCTCGCCCGAGCTGCCCACCTCACGCGCCTCGATCATGGCGATCGCGCGCCGGATGAAGCTGAAACGGGAGCGCGTGGACGTCAGTCGAGGTGGCACGATTCCAGCCGTGGTCCCGCGCAGCCAAATAGCACCGCGACATCTCACCGATGATAAAGCAAATCTTCTCAAATGCCTTTGGACACTACTTACTGGTAAAAGATGTCATTTATCAAATAAAGACAAAAGGTGTCACTCATTCATCAAATACAGGCAAATGTGAGCAAAAACTGTTCCACGTTTGACATCGAAAACTACCAATAGAAAGGAAACGATGGACAAAATATATAGGAAGTAACAACCTCCTGACGCAACACCTCGCAGCCACCTGTCAATACTTACGCTTCCTCCTTCTCCCGCTCGATCATCTCGCGCTCCTCGCGCTCCTTGTCCACCCGGGCCCGCTCGGCCTCGCGCTCCTCCTCCGAGTCCACCTCCACCATCTCCTCCTTGGGCCGCTTCTTGGGCTTGGTGGCGTCGGCCGGCTCGGCTCGCTGCCGCTTGCTGGCGCCGAGGGGCGACGGCACCACCGGCGCCTCCTCCGGCGGCGCCATCTCCTGCCGTGGCGACACTGACGCCTTCCTCGCCGAGGACCGATCCTGCTTCGCCGACTTGTCCGGTCGCGCAGTCTTCTCCTGCTTCCCGACCTTCTCAGGCCTTGGCGAGGCCGGCGGCGGCTTCCTGGCGGCGTTTTCCCGCTTCGGCGACGCCGACGGCGCCCGCCTGCTGTCCGGCTTTGGAGAGGACGAGCTGTTCTTCTTGGTCGACGCCTTCTCTGTTCTGGGCGACGCCGGCGGAGGCTTTTTGGCATCTGGCCTCTCCTGTTTGGCAGACGTGACCGATGATTTCGTTGAGTCCTTGTGGGCAGCCGTGGCCGCCGACTTTTTCGTCTCTACCTTTTCGAGTTTTGGAGAGTCGGCCACCGGTGCCTTTTTCGCCTCTGCCTTCTCTTGCTTGGAAGCCGAAACGGACTTCTTGGAGTCGCCCTTCTCCCGCTTCGCAGGCGGCGCAGGCGCCTTCTTAGCCTCCGCCTTCTCGCGTTTGGCGGCCGCGGGCGACGACTTCTTGTCGTCCTGTTTGTCGTGGCCAGGCGACACAGGCGGCGGTGGCCGGGGAGGCTCCTTGGTCTTCCGGCCGCCCTTGACGGTCTTGGACGGGGCGGCGGCGGCGGAGGCGGCGGCGAAGGCGGCGGCGGGGGCGGAGCGACGGCGGGCGAGGCCGGCGAGGGCGGCGGCCGGCCCGGGACGACTGGCGGCGCGGCCCCATCTCCAGCTGACGCTTCTTCTGCAACAGCCAGTCCACGGCAGGCGTGAGACGTGGAAGACGGCAGGCCATTCCGACATATCGCAGTCTATGACACTCACTAATGTTAAAACATCAAACACCCCGCAGAAGATGCTCGGACAAGTTCAAAACAGCTAATTCGTTACCGGAGAGACAGCAGCAAAATGCTACCAGAGGTTCATTAGAATGGACACCACAGCCCTCCTGAAAATCGTCGCAGCTCAGAAAATCAATCAACAGCCCCCACTTCCTCGTCTTCCACTGCTCCTCTCTTGTCTCTCACCCCCCCCCCCCCCCCCCCGCCCGCCACGTGACCCGCAGTCAGTCGGGCAGCCATTCTCACCTGCAGCTTCTGTTTTTGCGCGAAGAGGCGCGGTATCTCGGGCAGGAAGTCCTCCTTCAGCGTGTGGTAGAGCTCGAGCTCGAGCGGCGAGCGCGAGCGGCTGTACGAGTCGGCCAGCTGGCGCCAGTCGTCGGCCGTGAAGCAGACGCACCGCCAGCCGGGCTGGCGCGCGCGGCCCTTGTCCTCAGCGCTCTGCCGGCGGCGCGACAGCAGCACGGTCACAGGTGCGAAGAGAACACCGGGCAAGCCGCCGGCTGCGTTACGACCCGGACAGCGTGAGACAGGCAGGCCGCGGGGAGCAGCATCACGGCTGGACAGGGACGAGGGGCGGCGCCGCCGCCGGGCCTCGTGGAGCAGCATCACGGCTGGACAGGGACGAGGAGCGACGCCGCCGCCGGGCCTCGTGGAGCAGCATCACGGCTGGACAGGGACGAGGAGCGGCGCCGCCGCCGGGCCGCGGGGAGCACATCACGGCTGGACGGGGAACGGCGCTGACGCCGGGCCGCGTGGAGCACCACTTATGCTGGGACGCCAGGACAGACGCGTGGAACGATCAGAGCAGTACCCCAGCAAACAGTGCAAGGGACAAGCCAGAATTCACATATGATATTGCGTAGCGCTTGCATGCCACAAATGCGTGCGGCGCCACGATTAGTGGCCAGAGGGCTTACCAAGCGAGAAACGAACACTAGAGTGGCAAAACAGCTTCTATTCCACGGCTTCTCGCGTCAATGTCTTCACGCTCTAAGGCGGAACATTATGCAAAATGGCGACGTTTCCGATCAGGCAATTTGCAGTTTGGTCTTAGGTCACAATAATTCAGCACGTAGCTTAAAATTAACAAATACGGCACCAATTATGCAACACAACTTTTGCAGCACCGTCCTCGAACGACACGCGCGGTTAGCGAGCTTCGTATTGCCGAAACAAACGCGGACTCCAAACGCAAGCAGTGCAGTAATCAAGATAAGACACGTGGGAAAACCTTGCACCACGGCACTGCTGCAGCAACGAGACGAAACAATCTAATAAACCCCTCTTTGTTCCAAGATAGCAAGCGTGCCCGGTGCAATCAAGTCGTACTTAGCCAAGCAGGGTGATTAGTGTAGTACGGCACGAGCCGTCGCCAGGTGACGGGACGTGGCGTCGCCCCAGGCGCACGATACCCGCCAGCAGTCAACACTAGTACATCCGGGCGATCCCACACAAGTGCAAGGGAAGCCCCATCACGCAACAGCTTTAACGCGCCTAACGCTGGTGTCAGCGACCGAGCACACTGGGGCTCCGTAAGTCACTGCCGAACGCAGTGCCTAAAATTTCCATCTATGATGTCACAGGCAAGCGCACCAGAACGGCCCTACGCTTCTGCGTCATCACGCGTTTGTGACGTAGCTGACTATGGCGTCACAGGTACAGCCACAGGTCAATACTTTTCCATGAAGAGCTGAGACCTGGTAGACGACCTGAAGCCCTAATCACCCGCTCATACTGCGGACTGCAGCGGAGCGATTCCCAGGCGGCGCGGGGAAGCGGCCGTACGAACCTCTTTGTAGAGGCGAGTTCCATAAAAATACCAGTAGGTGGCACCGTTGTCGTCGTGGCCCAGCGGCTCTACCCTCAGGCTGTCGGCTCGAGATTCTGTAGCATCACACGGAGTGGACAAACGCCGTTAGAGTATTCATCGCGTGGACAACCGCCCAACATGGCAGCAGGCATCCAAATCACAACCAAACATAACTATCAACACGCATTACCTTCGGTCACAACCCCACACCGCGTTCCGCAGTGCGGCGTCGTCTCTACCGACCCATACATCCCCCGTCCACCAGACGGCCGTGCCCCGCCGCCAGACACGTCCCCAGCCACCAGGCGGCTGCGTCCCCGCCGCCAGACACGTCCCCAGCCACCAGACGGCCGTGCCCCGCCGCCAGACACGTCTCCAGCCACCAGACGGCTGCGCCCCCGCCGCCAGACACACCCCCAGCCACTAGACGGCCGTGTCCCAACCGCCAGACACATCCCCCGGCCACCAGACGGCCGTATCCCAGGGCCGCCAGACACATCCCCCAGCCCCATCAGCCGTATCCCGGGGCCGCCAGACATCCCCCGGCCATCAGACTGCCGTATCCCGGGGCCGCCAGACATCCCCCGGCCATCAGACTGCCGTATCACGGCCGTCAGACCATCCCCCGGCCATCAGACAGCGTATCCCGGGGCGCCAGACATCCCCCGGCCACCAGACTGCCGTATCACGGGCCGCCAGACACATCCCCTGGCCACCAGACAGCCGTATCACGGGGCCGCCAACATCCCCCGGCCACCAGACAGCCGTATCCCGGGGCCGCCAGACATCCCCCGGCCACCAGACTGCCGTATCACGGGCCGCCAGACACATCCCTGGCCACCAGACGACCGTGCCCCGGTCGTCAGGTCACCTCAGCAGGTCGATGACGTCCTCGGCCTCCAGGCGCAGGTCGCACAGCAGCTGGAGTACGGTGACGCGCGCGCGCAGCGGCAGGCCGTAGAAGTCACCGGTGGCGCCCAGCGGGTTGTGCACGCTCGGGTCCTCCTGCGGGGCGGCCCCGGTCACCGCTCCGCCAGTGGCACGACAGTCAAGCCGAACGGCGACACCCACCAACGCAAGACCAAGTGCAAACGGAACGAAAGCGTGCGTGGATGAATGCCGGAATACGATTTCTAAACTTTGCTTGGTCATCACGAGTGCATTGGCTGGTTCGCGCCGAAGAAACACAGACGTGCAACACTTCACAATGCACGCCGCGGGGACTGCATTTTCGGTGTCCTTGCGGGGACAGCATTAATCCAGTGACTGCTGTCAGGGTGCCCCCCGTAGCAGGCATGACTATAGCGGGATCTATCACGGCTTCTCGGACCCAGCGGTTGGATGCCTGCTCTAGTGACCCGAAGCCACGACGTGCCCTCGAGCTGCGTCGCCCGATCCAAGGGACCACTTGAAGGTGGCATCCCACCTTCCTTGTACGTATCACTTATTGTTACATCAGACGCGTACGATTTTATCACCAATAACTGTTCTCGAAATCCTCTGAATAGCTTAGAATTTCCATTTGAAGCAGTCGACCCTGCGGGCGAAATCCATTTGACTCCCTGCCCACCACTACGAAAGCAAACACATTTAATTTGCCTTTCTCTTTTCCACATGTGTGTTCTGTAACGTTTGCAACACACATAATGTGTCAAAATGTTTGTGTATAAAATGCTACGAAAGCTCGAAACATCCAGCTTAGACGAAACGATTCGCGCAGCATGAAGTTATCATCCCACGAATCCAATGAAACGCTATACTACGGCTTGGATTTACCCGTATTTGGGGACACTCCCTTTGAAGGCAGACCACGTCCACGACGGTGCGAACCAAACGGCTGAAAATCTGCTCTGGTCGGGAGCTGGTCGGAGACAAGTACACATGTAGTCTGGCTCAAAGCAAAGATCTCCTCCCTACATTCGCAAGCGCATTAAACAACCGTGCCTGCGTGTCTGTTTGAAAGCCTAAAATCCCAATTACTAATGATAGCCTAAGTAGAGCCCAAAACCGCAACCAGGGAACTTCATCAAAAGGCTCAATTATGGCGCAAATATCGGCTTCAAGCAATCAAGGCAAAGGACACCGACGCAACCTCTAAATACGCCTTTTGCAATGCAATACCACGCGACTGACATACCAAGCACTTGAACCTGAGGAGCCGCCTCAGAAAATGTTGCCAGTTGTGCGCCGACACATCGTACTCGGGCAGACAGCCCTGCAGCAGCCTGACCAACAGCTGCTGCAGTAGGGGCGAGTCGTCTCTGTCCGCCAACAGACCCTGCTCCAAGTCCTGCAACACCGCCCGACGTATGGCGCAGTGAGAAGACGGCAGCTCGCACGCCTCGCCGCCGTATCCGACAGCCCGCACGTGGACAGGTCAGGTGCCGGACGGACACTGCATGTGTGTGTGTGATTGAGGCTTTACGACGCACTCAGCTGCTGAGGCTATATGGCGTCGCCTGCCTCTCACCCTGACAGGAAGGGCGGGGACCGCGGGGAATCGAACCCCGTACCTCCGGTTTCCCAGACGCGCAGTGGTTAACGCATACGTGCTAACCACTACACTACCGGCACCCCGACATTGCATGTGCACGTGCTATCCGGTGTTCGGTGGCGACGGTGTGATTATGGCGACCAAGCCTACGTTCACGCCGCAGTATGACTGTGGCACATATTCCAAAATGCCGCATATACATGTACACACGTGTAAGGGCCTCTGTGGAGTACACATGTATGTTACTCTACGACAAAGCACAGCACACCATCAATACCAGGTTATTTCAACATCATTTCCGAATGCCCTAAAAAGGCAATGTCCACTTGATGCGATAAATTGCATCAATAGGCGCGTGTATCCGATTACTTGCCGACTTACCTCGATATCAAAATCAAGAAGGTTGAAAGCTGCCCGAAACAACGAACAAAAATGGGCAATACTTGGAATCTCCCACCACGTTTGGAGATCTGAAAGACCGGACAACTCGGCATCAGATACAACACAAGCGAGACCGCCCACGGCAACACACTGGCAAGTGATAAAGACGGTACGACCAACACAAACCCAGCGGTCGTCCACAGTATTGCTCCACTTTTGTGGACCGCAGCACGTGCCGACGCATGGCGCGTCGCGCGGCGCCGGCTGTAGGGGACGGACTGAGGGCACACCACTTAGGGCCCCACTGCGGCCGCGTTCAGCCGACGCGACACGGCTGAGGTGTTCGGTGGAAGAGCGGACCCGCACATCCGCCGTCCTGACCCGACAGCTGGCCCCACAGGCGCACTCAGCGCAGCATGGCGCGGACCCGGCAGCCAGTTTGGACTGGTCGTTACGGCGCAAAACGTTAAAAGGTTGAAAGGTTGCTTTAATCACGAGCCGAGGGTGACGCCGACGGCGTGCTCCATGTTTTCTTTCCTGGACGCGCCTCTGCCTGTCGCACACAGCTGCGCGATGTATCACGTGTCGAAGCCAATATTCAGAATATGGGGATGGCAGACCTGAAGAGTGGGCAAGCCAGAGCTACCGCGCATGGCCGAGCATTTCGCACTTCCAACCGCGACTGAATCGGCCTCCAATTTAAACCGGGGAGCAAACTCAACGAACCAGTGCGAAAGCCCGCAAAGTCCAATGATGTAGTTGGGTCGGCGACAACGTTAACTGGCCGCACTCGGATATGGCACGCGTCCGCCGACTGACGACAACCTGACGACCCTTGATCGCACAGGCTCGGTGTGCTCGCGCTTCTCAGCTGGCAGAAGTGTCCTCCAAACCGACACTACATCCAATCTGTCCGCTGGCCCGACAGCTACCGCACTGCCTCGGTAGCGCCGACCGCTGGCGTCCGCCCCGACAGCTGTGAATGGGGAGCGACGACTGATGCCTGGTTTCAGTAGACTTCCTCTGAAACGGCCCTAATTCGGGAAAATGACCACAGCTGAGAGGTCTCGCCCGTCATGGGATGGGAATTCAGGCCTGATTTCAGCGGACTTTCTGTGAAACGGCCCTAATTCGGAAGATGACCACAACTGAGAGGTCTCGCCCGTCATGGAATGGACGTCATGCTAATCGGCAACATGGCGCGTCACCCTGTTTGAACGCAAGTCTTCTTTTAAAAGGGAACGCGATGCATGTGGTCACATCCCATTTGTGCCTCCATACTGAATCCTGTACCCGGCGACGTGTCCTGTTAATCTCCTCATCAACCTCCAACTCGCCCATCCGTCATCAACCCGCCACCAACTCGCCCATCCTTCACTCGTTTCACTAGACTAATCCGCTAGACTTTTTTTTCTGTAACGATCCCGTATGAACGGAGAGGTATGAGCCGCCGGCGGTATCCGGCCGAGAGGGAAAGGAGGACATACCTGAAATGGGAAATATCTATGATCCAGGAGTAATCCAAGCACAATCCCGACAATATGTGCTAGAACAACGTGCAAAAACCGTCTCGAGGTTGATTCAAAGGCTTTGTTCGCTTTTAACTATGAGAATGCCACACAGGTTCCCATTTCAAAATGTCCCATTGACCATCGACCCCAAGAAACAATATAAATACAGCAATGATGCCATCGGAATGGCAATACCACGGAAAACGTCATGAGAAAACCCACTGAATTCGATGGCTACCAGCCCATAAACAACTCCATGTTCATGAGCACAAATTCCCCAGATGCCAGGCTGGGATTATTTACTGTGACTCCACGGGTCATCATAGGCTGACTGATGTCAAACTGAGCAGTCAGCACAACACCAGTACAAAACAGCAGAACACAACAGCGCAGACAGACTTCATGCTGCTGCAAGGGTAAGATGATGGAGGAAATACACAAAATGGTATCTGCAGAGGACTTACAATGTTCATCATTGTACTGCAGGAAGGAAAACAAGGAGAGAGGAGGGCAACAAGAGGCTTGCTGCAGGTGCGTCACTGCGCGGGATCCAGGAACACGGTTTCGAGGAAGGCTGACCTGAAATGAAAGGTTAACCATCAGCAATTAAACACCGCCCTCCACCAGTGTCGGCCAGAACACTACAACGCCCGCTGATTGAACTGTGGGGCCGGCATACACCCCTGCTTACCACACTGACACATCTGTTTACCATGACACATGAGAATGCCCCCCACAGACCCATGTACTGTTTTTGGAATCAACTTGTGACCAGGGCCGGTTGTGTGGCAAGTTTTCAGCAGTTGCGCAAAATTTGAGCTAGGATGACATAACATTTTCTCCCATTCCCAAAACCTTATTCTTTACATTCCAGAACAAACTTCTACACATTCACCACTTGCACGAACTGCTATTAGTCAGGCAAATTGCAGTCGTCAACAACCCCAGTGATACATTGGCCCGAGGCCCAAAATGTCACGGGTGCTGCGTGGCCACACGGCTTAAAACCGGCACGACAGTCGACACGGCTAAAAACCCTGAATTTACACCGCGGCAACCGCACTCAGAACACAGCATGAACCACCTCACATCGCTGGCTGGTCTGCGCGAGTAAAATCCCACCCCAATTGGAATAAAAAAAACTCAGCAATTTGATGGCTTTATTGACTGTGTTTTAATGTCATTCACAGAGAGCAGTGATGTTGATACACAGGCTACGGCATCGGCGGCAGATGGAAACAAGCCGCGACACGCGCGGCCCGCAAAGCATTTGTGAAACATAAGGAGACATGGTGCTTGGGATGGCAAACTGGCGCTGTCCCACCTAATGCTGGTAGGCCTACCACGCTAGAAGATGCTCCCTCTTTTCCCAAGCAGCGATACCACAGTATGAAAAGTGAAAGGGTTGTGTCCAAATCGTTAAGCCGACCTCAGATTTTTCAAAGGTCCATAACTTTGCAGCCTCACACCATAAAGGTCAGCATTTTGACTACAAAACTGCAACATCTTCAAAAATTGGCGTAACTTCTTATCTTCCATGCAGCACTGCATGCCCAATGTGCCCATTGCCCAAAAGTTTCACATGGACTGCTGTTCAAAGATGCACGTTTCAAGACAAACCACCCATTGCTACCTCCAGCAAGACCCCTGAGCATCAGAAATAATTAAAAAAAAACAATACATTGCTGCTTGAATGCTACTGACAATGATTTGCATCATTGCAACTTCAAACAGGCCAAATGTGTGTACAAGGGTTTTGACATACCAATTAATTACCCAAACTATCCCAAGGTTATAAGTATTGCATGAAAGGTACTTGCTTATTTCATCACTGATGTTAAGGACATCATGGACCTCTACCTTTGTTATGCATTTTGTTGTGTCCCACAATGCCTTGCTGGTTAATTATGTTCATACTGTAGACCACAGATCCTCTAAGGCCTTACTGGTATACTCTGTTCACACTGAGCACTGCAATGCTTTGCTTGGTGGTGATTCTAGTACATTCATCTAATACTACCTTTGCACCTATACATTCACCTATACTAATCTGGTGGCAAAATGGAGCACATGTCTCAATAACATTGATAAAAATGGGATGTCATGAACACAAATGTAAATGTAGAGAACACTTGATGCAACAGTGAAACAGTTTAACACACATCAGACTAACATCTAAGTTATAATGTCTTTAAATGAAACAAACAGTCCTGATATCTGAGATATCTAATCCAACCAGGTAGCTAACAGCCTCAGATGGATCTGTTTAGCACATCATAACTTTCTACAGAGAGGTGTTCATTTGTGTTCATTCTTTGCATGACATGGTTACACATATCTTTAATCATGCTTCACAAAATCATGGTTACCTGTGTTAGTATTCAATCATGTTGCATGCAGCTTCACAAACACCTTGTAAAACAACACACTGGGACTCAGTAACATTCCTCCACATTGTAAACAAATGGGCAGCCTGTAGAGGATCTGAAAGGACACAGAAATGAGAGCAGATGTTGGGGGGACCATGAGCAGCGCCAACAATAAGGTCCCGTTCACTGGACATGGGTGATGAGGGTGCTTCACACCAATAATGAATCTGTTTGTTGGATTTCTCCTCACTTCTATGCATGAGCCATATTCAAATGCAACACATTATTCTGAGATCCTATGTTCCACTGAAGCATCTTTAACAAACTTAAGGGACTACTTAAGCCTATGAATTCAGAGTATCAACTGTGTTATTATGGTCTTGACCAAATTGGAATTTGGTGACCATCCCCATGCCTGTAGGTGTTCTAGTAACCTATCTTAGTCATTTACAAAGCTATACATCAAAGGAAATCCTCTGGAACCACAACTATTTTACCTGGTCAACACCACAGCCACCAGAAGGTTGCTTAGCATCCCCTGATGCCCCTGGACAGAGGAGCCCTTCATACACCAGAAATTCCAGATCCTTCTGACCATGCCTACCAGCTTCATGACCACTTAAGACCACCTTAGTCACCATCTAGCTATTTTGGAGACACCAACTCCCACCTCAACTGTTCTTGTTTCTAAACCAATTCAGATTGCCTATGTGTGCATGTGCCATTGGAGCTTAACACCACACACAGCTGCTGAGGCTTTATGGCAATGCCTGCCCCTCATTCTTTGCATGACATGGTTACATATATCTTTAATCATGCTTCACAAAATCATGGTTACCTGTGTTAGTATTCAATCATGTTGCATGCAGTTTCACAAACACCTTGTAAAACAACACACTGGGGCACAGTAACATTCCTCCACATTGTAAACAAATGGGCAGCCTGTAGAGGATCTGAAAGGACACAGAAATGAGAGCAGATCCCAGTGGTGCCTGTCCCTCCCTGGCAGGGAGGGCAGGCACCACTGGGAATCAAATCCTGTACCTCTGGTTTACCAGATGTGCAGATGTTAACACAGATGCATTAGTCGCTACAATACCAGCACCCCTTAGACTGCCTATGAGAGACTTAAGAGTTCCTGAAGCATCATGAAAATGTGCTTATTATGGACTACCCTGTAATTTCAGGGTCCCTGGCCTTTCCAGATGACTACTTTAACATTCAGGATGGTCTTGCTCCTGTCTCCACAGATAACTTATAACTCCTTTTTTGGCCCGGATATTGCCTGGCCACGCTGGTGTTCACAAGCTGTCTCACGGGTCCAACAATGTCTATGGCCCTTTGTTTCTTCATGTTCCATTTATGGTGTCTTGATGCTTCCTCATGCTGGGAATTCTTGACAGCTGCAATTCAATTCCTATACAGTGTATAATAATAATATGCATATTGTGCATTCTAATCATGTGTCACCTATATCAATATTCACTACAATGCATCACTACAAATTACAATGTGATCCCATTACATGTAATCTGCCTCTGTCATCTGTGGTGAAGCTGGGTCACATGATCCAACTGAATATCTTGGGAGTGATGTTAACCTTTACAGCTGAATTTGATATATCCTACACTTAAATGAAAATAATGTAGGTGGATCAGAACAGTCTAGAGAATAAGATTTTGTTATACCCAAACTATTGTTATTGTGCAATGTTTAGTTTTTAAGGTAAATTGGTGGGATACTGTACAGTATTAAGTAATACTGCACAGTATGCGTAACTATTTTCTTGCCTGCATTCATATGCTAAATATGAATTAATCCACTGATAGATTTATATTAGCATAAAATGTAATGCCTCAAGGGCTGCAAAATATCAATTTTGCCATGATCAACTAGTTGTGAAATGTCATTGCACAGCATGCCTCATGGAGTCCTGGTGTCTTCATAACCTGATCTAGCAGGGCAAAATTACAATTATTTTTTCCTGCAGTAATCACTAACAATAACCAATCCAGCTATACATACATGCAGCTGGGCCCCACAGGCCATCATTACTTAGGTTGACTTGTCTTTAAGAGGATCTGAGGGGAAGCAGTAAAGCTCCAATTGTCTATGAGCAGAGAAAAAGGCCCTTTAGTTTTGAATCTGTCAGACTGTGAGGTTTCCCTGACCCAATTTAAAACATACTTTCACCTTCAGCACTTCCCTATACTGCAGCACAATGATCTTCAGTGCAGAATTGTATTCAGTGTATTCAGTGCAGCCCAATATAAAGGTTGACCAATGCCTGTGACATGCTGTGGTATGGTGCTTCACTTGGCAGGCTGCTGTTCTTGGAAGTCCCCAGCCATATATGATTTCAAACCACACTAATGTTTATACCATCTTCATCATTGTTTTAAAACACATATTGTAACCAGCTACTTTTTCTGTATCATGCTTGATATTTATCCATACTCTACTACAACCTTAAAATTTGTGGGCATGCAATGGCTGCATAGACTAACTTTTAAATTATACCTGTGAAGACATTTGTGATATCTGATCATAAGGCTCCAAATACACATGAGCTAATGTTTATAATTGTGTTTGATGCCCACAAATGCTGGTGAATTACATATCTAAGCAGCTCCAAAAATAGTGATCATCTGTATTCAGCTTAACATGAAACAAGATGGTGGATACATGCTGCATTTCTACCACATTTTATCAATAATCTTAAACTTTGGCCTAGTAACTGATTTAGGTCATCACATACTGATGGGTCCTTTTCCAGTATTCATGCTCTTGATTGTGAAAAAATAAAACGCAATTAAGTTTCGATGCCTGATAGGGATTTGTTTTGCTCCGGGAGGCAGTTGTTAAATTAAGCATTCTCATGGGCATGGCAATGACGCGCAAGTTCTGCGCAAACACAACACCGCGCCAATCGCATATGCTAACACAATGCAGTGACCCTTACCTTCCATGAGATTCAATGAAGGTCTAGTTTCTTCATGTTCATTTCCTGTGATCTGCTAAAAGCACGGGGAAGATAGATCAGACTTCGGACATCTACGACGGAAATAAGCGTCGCCAAGCACAACACACCACAGCGCGGCCTCCCACTGCCGACTTGACACGCATCCGGGAACTTCGGCGCCATGCATTTTCTTTATCGATTGAGACCTTTTTATGCGTGAATTTCACCTAAGGCGCATCAGTATTTGTAACAAAGGTCTACTGTAGTTTAAGAAAAAGTTGCTACAATCCAATTGTACTATGGTCTTTGGGTCAAAAGGCTGTGTTTTTATGTATGGCTATGTTGTGTGAATATCGATACAGAAACTGAAACCCCGCCCACTGCGTTGGAGCACTACCCAAAAACGTAAGCAGATTGAATACGCGCTGTTCAATATAATAACAGTATATACGGCAATTATATTTACTATGGACAACGTGTCTTTAAATATAATGCAATTTCAAAAACAAAACAACGTGTTAGGACGGATAATGATGCTTTACAAAGCACATTTGCACCGAGCATTTTCTCGTTGCCGCCCCTCTGCTACGATCGTAAGCATGCAAGCGTACAAGCGGTACGCGGACCTTGATATAGTCGTGTGCGCGGGCAATGTGATCTTGAATCTGTCCGATCTCAAATGATTTCGCAATCCTCGTGGAAGACCCTTGGTGTAAGTGATCTTCGAAAGAGGCATTGGTGTAAAGTAGCATTACTATCAGCTGGAAAAGCTAGTGGCCTGTCATGAAAATCGTTCACTGATGTTCATTGACTGTTCATCGGCCCACATCAATGCCGGCGGGTTAGTGTGTTTGGGGTCAGCTAGATTAGCAGTCTTTGCCGGCAGGAATGCATTCAAGAGGTGGAGAGCCAGTATGCAAAAAGATCATCCACTGCTCCAGAAGGCTATGCTGCGCACAACCAGGCACATCAGTCTGCAAACCGTGGCAAACATGCAAATGGGATGTTTGGGGCAGACAATCTTTCCCTTAAAAGAGTAGAGAACTGATGCATTTGGGGAATCATTTTTATCTTTGCTTACCTCCAAAGATGTAGCTTACCATCACCTTTGGTCTTTTTGTGATCTTTCCTGTTTTGATGACAAATACATGATTCTCTCATTGGTCTATTTCAATAATTTCTGCACAAAAATATTGATAAGCTGGCCCAAAGGAGAAGTTTTCCTGATATTGATTTCCCTCTGCTCCAATGATATCCCATCAAGATCTACTATGGTTTCCAGATAGGCTGGCATGTGTGAGCTAAATTCACACCAGCCAAAATTGTGCTGAATTTATAAATTATTTTTGCTCAGTAAGTTAAGGAGTTTTCTGCCAGAGATAATGTTTGCAACATGATAATACCTTGAAGCATTGCTGACCTGTATACCAAAATTGGTGACAACCATGCATCAAACCCTGAATGCCCAGATTTATGTTATGTTATGTTATATGTTAGCATGTGCTGAACTTTTGCTGCAATCTCACTGCTATGTGAGACATGTTTAATATGAGTGCATGTTGATTGGGCATGTACTCTGGCCTTTTCAGTTGTTCTGCAAGTAAAATTATGCATAAAAAGGTAATAATTCACAGCTAGTCTTTGTAGCTGTATACATATAGCTTGAGATCATGGATATTAACTTGTGCCATATAACAAATGTCGAGTACCTGCAGCATGAGCAAATTTGCTTTTCCTGCCTACACACCAAGCTATGTATTGGTAAAAATCCACCTAGTTACAAAACTTTCCTCATAATCAGCAGTAGGTTTGGACCCTAATTGGGCTAGATATCCTAGGCAAATAGCATGTGTTTTGCTGGTTATGAGGAGAAACTAATATTATGGGGCTCTAAGATTTTAAAACTCAAAAATAAAATGAGTTGTGGTCCTGTAAATTCCAATAGCTCAGTCGGTTTGAGCACTAGCCTTCCACTCCACCTACCCCTGGTATGGTGGGTTATAGCTGTTTTGGGCATTGACTATTTGCTCTTGATGGGCATGGCCTATGGCTGTTTGCAGCAGCCATGCTTAAGGTCAGGAGACATCAGATAGCACAACAGACCTTGCCTAGCTTTGTGTTATGTTAAACTTTCATTACTAGGTCATGCCATTGGCCTGCCATTGCAAGGTTGGTAGGAGTTAGGGCACTCACAGGAAGCACTGCTTAGGATGTGCTCTGATCCCAGAAATCCATTAGTTTCAAAGGTTTAGATTAGGTCTTTTGTTTTCAACTCAATCTTGTCAAAGTGTTGTGCTGTTCAAAACCTTCCTTCTCTTATTGCTCTTTGCCTAAGCTCCATGATTAGAATCTCAGGTATCTTCCTTTTCAACCAGACAGTCACTGTCAAAATCTTGTGAGTTGTGCCACATTGAACAGGCTGTGCTATTGTTGCCTTACTTTTATGGGGGATTTCAGTGTCTTTGGTTTTGTGCATTTCCTGGATTCTTTGTCAGCCAAAAGTTGATTACATCTATAGGAACCAACTGAAAACCTAAATTGCCATGACTGCTCACCAGGGTTGCAAAATTGGTTAGCTGGGTCATAATCTCCGACAAAAGCTATGTTTTGCCTTCTGCCACAGAAGCAGACATGAGCCGCAGTGCATCCCAGACAGAGGGGGCGGGCGGTGCTGCGTCTGGCCCGGCTGGCACCATCCGCTCAGTGCCTGCTGTGGTTAGCTCGAAGGAGGGTGCGGTGGACGTCGAGAATGGGCAGGACATCAATGCCGGTACGTCCGTGACACCAGCGCCCCAAGACAGCCGGGCGTCCGTGGCGTCAGCGCCCCGAGACAGCCGGGCGTCCGTGACGTCAGCGCCCCGAGACAGCCAGGCGTCCGTGACGTCAGCGCCCCGAGACAGCCAGGCGTCCGTGGCGTCAGCGCCCCGAGACAGCCAGGCCTCCGTGGCGTCAGCGCCCCGAGACAGCCGGGCGTCCGTGACGTCAGCGCCCGAGATAGCCGGGCAGTCCGTGACGTCAGCGCCCGAGACAGCCGGGCGTCCGTGACGTCAGCGCCCCGAGACAGCCAGGTGTCCGTGACATCAGTGCCCCGAGACAGCCAGACATCAGTACAGTCAAAGGGCTCTGGCCCCGTGTCGGCCTCCGGATCGGCGGAGCAAGCGTCGTCCCATCACAGGGTTAGCATTCAGACGCCCTCCATGCAGGCTGCTGGGAAGAAAGGTGGAGAGGAAGGTGGCCAGGATGGAGAAAAAGAAGAGGAAACAGAGCAGGATCAATATGAGGTATGCACTTAAATAATGTTCTTGTATTTTACCATTCAAAAGAATCCTACGACTGGTTGTGAAATGTCAGTGTGAATTGCTGTTAGGCCGACATATAAGGTGGCTCATATCCAAACATAAAGACTAGTGCAGAGTGCTTTGTTCACTGCTAGCTCCATCCATCTTCATTGACACCAGTAGGCGCCCTAACAGCGCCCTCGTCTCCCCGCCCATTATCCCTACCTGCCTGTATACTCACTGCTCTGTGCTCCACGCCCAACCTGTGGCCGGTGCCGCCAGCTGGCCGAGGAGCGGCACCGGGCGCTGCGCGAGCGGCTGCTGCACCTGACGCAGCCGCGCGCTTCCATCCTGAGCGAGCGCGGCGAGGCGCGGCCCGGCGCCAGCGAGCAGCGCAGCATCATCAGCCAGTACCTGCGCCAGCGCGACCCGCGCCTCTTCATCAGCAGCCAGCGGCGCGTGGTGCGCTCCTTCCTGCCGCCCATCTTCCGCAGCCGGTTCGCGCCGGCCGAGACGCCGCAGCGCGCTGCCAGGTGCGTGGTCGGGCGGTGTCCACGGCGGCCGACGGCCGGCGGCAAGAGTGGTGGCAGGTGCCGTGGGGCTGGAAAGAGGCGGGCCGCTGGAATAAAGCCGCTGTGAACGGGCGTTAGGGGATGTGGAATGTGAGCCGCCATGACGTTGTCATCAAGTGGCGCCTTTGTCTGAGGTGTTGGTTTTCAAGGGTGGGAATGAAATACCACTGGTAAGCATTGTATACGTTGAGTAACATCGACAACCACAGCTTTTCATTGCGAATGACACTGTTGTGGGCTGATTGTAACATGACTGCCAGTCGTCACACGAGGGTCTCGTCCAACCAGCTCTCAGCGGCGCCTGCCGTCCAAGATGGCAGAAACACAGCGTACCATGGAGCGCACGTACTCGACCAAGAAGCACCGGATGCCGGCCGAGCAGGAGCTGGAGGACCGCATTCTGCGCGAGCGTTGCCAGCTGCCCATGCTGAGCAGGGCCAGCGCCCACTGGTGAGCTACCCCAACCGTCGGTGGTAACGTGCCCATTGAGAGGATGATATTTGCCCTGACCCGGCGCTCTTGCTGCCGGAATTCCCCCTCCCCCCCCCCCTGTTCCTCGTTTTATGATATTCTTTGTGTATCCACGCGCCACGTACAGACCATATATTATCTTAATCACGAAGCTCGTACTTGTTCCTCGCCATCGTTTCGAGCCCATGTGACTCCTCTCCCCTTCCGCTCCCGCCCACTGTCCCTTGTCGTTTGCTTGCGCCATGTTCTCTGTTCCTGTTCCTTGAATTCTCACTTGTTCTCCTTGTCTCGGCCATCTACCGTCCCATCCTCTCGGCCTCCGGTCCGTTGTCTCTTGTCCTCCGCGTCCCGTCCTTGTCCACCGTCCCCTCCCTGTTTTGTTCCTTGCTTCCTGTGACTACCGTCGCAGTCCGTCTCCTGTCATCCCATACCGCATCCACCTTCTCTACTGTCCCCCATCCTGTGACCCTGTTCTCCATCCGACCCTGTCCCCCACCCTGTGACCCTGTCCCCCGTCCCCATCCGGTCACCCCGTCCCCCGCCCTGTGACCCTGTCTTCCATGCCATGGTCCTGTTCCCCATCCCATGACCCTGTCTCCAATCTCGTGGCCTTGTCCCAATCTCGTGACCCGGTCCCCAATCCTATGACCCCGTCCCAAATCCCGTGATCCTGTCCCCCGCCCTCCCACGACAGCCATCGGAGCGAGATGAAGCACAACTTCTGTATCGACGTGCTGGAGCGAGGCTGCCACCAGACGCACACGGAGATGTTCCACATCCTGCGACGCGACGAGGCGGTGAAGGCGGCCATGGCCGATCCGCCGGCGCTCATCGAATACACGCCGCACAAGCTGCAGAAGCTCAAGCAGTGCCTCGTCGACATGGAAGAGGCTGTCCGGAAATGTGTGCTCGGGCGGAATGGGGGGGGGGGGGGGAAATCAAATGTGAATTAACGTCAATAAAAGCATAACCCATGACTGGTGGTGACAAAGTGAATCTAGGTCGTTGGTGTAGTTTTGATGCTGTTTCCACCGGTTGACGAGCCTTTTTCGAGCAGTGTTGTCATGTCGTGATGCCTGTCTTTGTATCCAATTAGGAGATGCATTCCCCATTATGACGACGAATAACGGCATCGCGGGGTGGGGTCTTAGAATTGTAGCTAGTCGTAATAGCTGCACAAAGGACCCCTTGATGCGTTTCACCTCGTTGTGCTGGTTTTAGTCCATATTTTTTCTCATTTATTTGATTTGCGGTGGATTATATGACCGTTTCGTTGTGCTAACTTAAGTCAATCGTGTTATCATTGATTTAATTTGCAGTGGATTATATGTCCGGGTACGCCTCCGCAAACGACCCTGGCATTTTTCTTCCTGAAAGAGCCCGCTGATCTGTGGCTGGCTAAGCACTTCTTCGATAAATGCCTCGAGTTCGGGAAGAAGATCGATGACGACGGGAAGATGCGGGAGAGCGAGGCGCATTGCAACGTGGGCATCATGAATTTCTTTGATGGTAAGATGCTTTTCAGTCAGTCATGAGGAAAGTAGTAATGGCCTCGCAGTGTTTGGTTTGAAATAAGTTGGAGATGGTGCACATTTTCGAGCGCGGCCCATGATTACATACTAAACCCGAAACTGAATAGCCGTTTTCCGTTTCGGGTTTGTATGCGGTCAACGGCCGTGCCCGAAAGTTTTTACACAAAAATGTTGACATCTTTCAAAACTCAATGTTGTAAGGTAATTGGCACTCATTTCATGACCAACTGGTTGATGTGCCTGAGACATGCGCTGCGCTAGACGACCTGAAAGGTTGGAATAGCGTGTTGGATCAGAATTCGTGTCGGAGACACCTTTGTTGCTTTTTGTTGGCATCCGAATAGCTTTGTATGTATATGTACGTGGGTTAAATTCCTTTTATTGTGTTAGATATCATGTGTTGAAGTGTACTATATGATTGATACTGGGCTGCGCTTATGAGACACTTGTAGGAGTTGTAGCGTGGTCACTTCAAATAATTAACCATCGATCTCTCAGAACGCCTGGCTGTGACTAGCATTAAAGGCGTTTCAGTTGAAGGTGCACTCCAAAAACTGTCAAGCTGACTTAAAATGCATTCCAGTTATGTCCGCTGTTCATTTATCTCTGCGATTCCTAAGGCGGGCTACGTTCAGTGCGCGACCACCCGTCCGTCCGCCCCCTCCCCCCCCCCCGCTGTGAAACGCCTCGGTGCCGGTCACGGCGTCAGGCCGTGTGTGCGGTCGGAGCGCAGGGGTGCACCCTCACACCCCTCCCCCCTCACCACAGGCAACATCGACCTGGCGCTGACGCACCTGGAGAAGTTCCGTCGGCTCTCCTACAAGCAGGTGTGGGAGACGATCGACAACTACTCCTACTATCGCTACTCGTGCCTGCTGCTGCAGGACGTCTACCTCAGCCAGGCCGTGGCCGCCGAGAAGGAGGACCTGGAGAAGGCTTTCAAACTGTACCTGCGCGCCTCGGTCATGGCCAACCAAGGTCAGTGGCGAGTTGCTGCCACGGACAGCTGCTCGGCCTGGGCCCTGACGGTCCGGTGTTAGGTCTGCAATCGAATAGTTTTGTTGGAATGTTTATGCAGATGGTTGGAATCGGTTTCAGCTTCGGCGCCCTATCGGTTGGCGTGTGTGTACAGGCTGCGCGTTCAGTCGTGGGGGGGGGGGGGGGGCATGGTGCGTCATCTGCTAGTTCTGTCCGTAGAATTAAGTATCGGTTTTGGCGATATTACACCCGCGTATTCACCTAGGCTGTGTCATCTCATTCAAAATATTTGGTACGCATTATAAGGGCCAGCTTTGAAGACATTGCCAACATGCGAATCGTCATATATGACGTATGCAAAACACATGTTCGAAAATGCCCTGCCACGCTGAGATAAACACCAGGTCACCTCCTCCTCCGTGTGGCCCGCCCATGAGCGGCGCCACCTGCTGTTGGCAGCCCAGAACATGCAGGCTGATGGCGATGGCGCAATACAACCTGGGTGAGATCCAGGAGAAGATGTGCAACTGGCAGAACGCACTGCGCCGCTACGACGCCTACCTGCGCCTCTCCGACAAGCTTCTCAACTTCAAGGGCGTGTGCACGGGCTGCTTCAAGGTCGCCAAGTGCCACGAGGCGTAAGCGGGGCTTGATTGGGTGGACGGCTCCCCGCCAGGGCAGGGCGGGAGATGCTGGAAGTGGCCCACCGAGCCAGTGATTGAACTGGGCCGCGCAGTTCCATGCGCAGCAGCGCGATGGCTTATCGGTTGTTTTATGACGCGCTAGCGTGTTGAAGCCTCCGGAACCATGATACATGGACGTTATCCAGTAGCATGTGTGTTTTGCGGCTGAGTGGCTGCTCCAACACTAACAGAGCCAGCGGCGTGCACGCTGACACGGCGCCGTCTGCACTCCGCCCGCAGCATGGACAAGCTGCCCCTGGCCGTGGATAACCTGAAGAGGAGCGAGCCATATCGCGCGCGGGCAGCACCTGGACGAGGAGATTATCCGGGCCAGCTCCGAGCTTGGTCACATCTACCTCTCCATGGTGAGCCAGCCAGGGCGAACAACAGGCAGCTGGGGCCCCGGCTCCAGCTCGGACTCGGGACTCGGACTCGAGCTCGAGCTCGAGCTCGGGCTCGGGCTCGAGTTGGGCTCGGACCTCGGACTCGGACTCGGACTCGGACTCGGACTCGGACTCGGACTCGGACTCGGACTCAGGCTCCGACTCGGACTCGGGCTTGGACAGCCGCCGGGGTGGAGAACCCAGCTGCACTGTGAACAGGTGGCCGTTGCGTGGTCATCTTCATAAGGTGTTGGTTATCACACTAGTGACTCTGCAGTCCTCACAACGATCACGACACATCGCATCTGGCTGCGGAAACATATTTAAATGGAATCATCTGTGAGCTCTGCCGTGCACCTCGGTCCGTGTGAAATCAGGCATTAGTTGTCACGTGCCAACTGCCGGTCCGAGCGGACGCGCAGCAGGATCCGTGCAGGATCTGGCTGATTGTCAGCCGGTTTCGAACGTGGCGTTCCGTCTGTTGAGACGATGAGCGAGATTAGTTGTTATGGCATATGCTCGAACTTTATCCATTCTATTCTAATGGCAAGTTTTTTGGAAGATGTTGGACAAGTTGTTCAGTTGAACTGCGCGCACTTGCCTCGCCCCCTGTGAGAAATCTGTTAAGATAATTGTGTATTGAGTGCACCATTCACAATGCAGTTTACAATTCAGTCCTTTGATGTTGCGCCGGCACGCACAATGCCACTCTGCAACGCATGCTTTCTCGGGGGGGGGGGGGGGGAGGGGGGCGGACGCGCCTCCCCAGCGGCGGGCTCTGGACCCTGCCGGTCGGCGCGGCCACCTGCACCGTATATGCACCATGGCCCGACCCGACCTGACAGCCCTCCGCTCACCGCAGGGCAAGAACGACCTGGCGTTCCGGCAGTTCATGCAGGCCTACCAGTACGTGGAGCTCTCGGAGAACGTCATCAACGACCACAGCTACGTGGCCAGCGCCATGGTGGGCATCTCCAGCGCCAGCAGGCTGCTGGCCGACTTCAACGAGCTCGTGTACGTGTGGGGCGACGAGGAGTTGGAGCGGGTGCTCGCCTGGAAGACGGCCCGGGAGGGCATGCACGTGGAGGAGCGCGCCGGGTCGAAGTGGATTTAGCATCGGCCTGCGCTGCCGGTGGTGCTGCGATGTCTTCAGCCGCCAGCTTCAGCTTCAGCTTCAGCAGCTGTGTGTCGTGCCGTCGCTAGTTTCGAAGGCGAGAGGAGAGGAGGGGATGCAGCCCGCGATGCTGCGGAAGCTCCGCGGGGCGTGCAGCTGTCCGGTGGCCCAGGGCGGCCTGTTGTGGTGATGGCGACGCGACGCAAAAGTGTTTCAGTGACCGCGGAAGTCCAACCGACGGGGGACAAAGAGCTTGCTTCAGTGTCTGGATGCTGGTTGTGAGATTGGGATTGGCAAATCCGTTGTTGAAAAATGCTCATTATATTTAGCATGCATATGTTGTGTGCTTGATATGTGTCAGCCCAACCATTTATTTAAGGGCAATGCGAATCGAAAGCATATCACGATATCGAAGTAGACGTATTTGCCAAATGGCACGTGTGTAGAGCAAATTTGCATGTGTACCTACTTGTGTGTTCTAGTTGGGGTCATTGTTTTCACCCCTCTAGCCAACATAAATCAACATTTATCTATATTATGTGGCTGTGCCAACCGGTCGTTCCTGTTTATGAATGTGTTGCAATACAGCTGTTGAATCACTGATGTTTTCCTGGGTTATCTTCCTCAATGGCAAATGTCCTAAAATAACTATGATTTGTTGTACTGGAGCACTGCTGTAATACGGGCTAACACTGGCTTGAGACCATCGTGACAGGGGTCCTCGGTTTGCCTTTGTTTGATAATGACAAGACGCGCTGCTAGCGATGACCTATCTTGAATCATTCCGTGTGATGGTTGAGCTTTTATCGCGACGAGGCTCGGGTAGATCGATTTTTGTAAGGCATATTCCATGCAAGCCTGCAGGCGTTATGGAACCTGGGCAAGTTGGGGAGACGCCCCTTCGTCCCACGGATAGAACATTCAGGAAGCCAGTGATTTCATGGATGGCAGTCAAACGAGGCCTCTAAGTCACTAACTGAATGGAACTGACTAAACCACGCCTTCATTACCATGCCAGTTCTATAGCTCTAGCTGAGTGAAGTTGACTTAACAGCATCTCCATTCCCATGTATGGTCGGTCAAAAGTTGAATCGTGAATGAATAATACCTACTTTGGTTTCCAGTATGCCTCGTGTCCCGATATTAATACTAAATTATTGTCGGCATGCCCCGTCGATCACCGTATCAGCGCCACCTTTAGCATGGTACGTCGGTCCCGATATCAGCGCCACCTTTAAAAACATATAGTATTTTTTACTGTCAAGAGGTGCCTCTGCCATGACTTCCCGTGACCTTGCAAGCATCAAAATCGCGCTAGATTCGTCCGATCGTCTGCTGGTCAGTTTTGATGTAAAATTCCAAGTTTAGGCCCGGAAACACTCGTTTTTTGCCATTTTCTATTCACGAGGTAAGATATCCCAACATGTATCGCCTTTTGAGGTGTGTCCAGGTGAAACTGTGTTGGAGAAAGTAACGAAATGCCCCTAGGGCTGCTCGAAATTGGTTTGTTATTGTACGGGTCTGGTCTGCCCCTCCCAAGGTCGTGCAACGAAAACTATCGTGCAAGTGTTGGGGAAAGGGCTCGAGTGCTACTGCAGATAAGAAAACAGACATTTACAGGTATCTGTGGTGTGTTATGCAAATGCTGCTGAAGCTATGAAGTGTTATTACATGTGTCACTCACTTTGTGGCCATTGATGTCAGCATGGAAGTCATGTGCACAAGGTTTGGGTTTGTGTAGAGTGCCTCTCCCTAGTTTTATCATCTGCAAGGCTGCTCATATATGTTGATATTTTTGCCACTAAGTAAATCATACAGATAACTACCACCATCACATGGTCTAAGGGTTCAATTATTCCATTTACATTGGTGAGACCAGCCAAATGTCTGACATTATCTACTTGTAGACTCTTACACCTAGGTCATGTAATAGCACACCTAACTTTGATAAAAAGGGCATATTTGACTGTCCCATTATGTCCTTAATGTTCTGCTTTTCTGCATTCCTTAGCCTCTCTATTCCTCTCTATTTCAGTGTATATGTGTCACTTGCCACAATAGTTATTGGTTTTCTATCTTTCTCATTCATTAGGGAGAATTATCATACATTTTTCATTGGCTGTGGGAAGTAATATTTGTTTCTGTAGGTGACCTGTCATAAGTGTCATCTAGCAGTGTAATCTTATGTTTTCAGATGATTTGATGGTTGAAGGGCTCATGCAGATGGAGGTGAAACTATCTCTGAACCTGCTGTAATGTATGCAAAATATGTTGTCTTTGTAGATTACAGTTCCTTGACTCATAACTCATGAGCTGGCTGCTGTTGCTTTGCATTACTAAGCAGGATTTTTTTCTTAATTATTTATCCTAGACAATACCTCTTCAAGCTGATATATTTACCACTATTAGATATAATCCTACCCAGTGTCAGATACATGAAAGCCCTTCATGTGTCTCAAGCCAGGATACAGTCCAAACCTAAGGCTCAGTGCCTACATTTGTTGCATTTTGACTGGTGCTAAGCATGAACCATTTGCTTAGGCTCTCCAGTGCTGATTGACCAGACATTTGTTTGACAAATGGACAAGTTAGCAACTTTGGGTGGACTAAATAAATGGGCACACAAAAGCATACTGCAACAAGGCAGCACAGGACAGATGCATGTTTACTGGTAACAAACTCATCTGTTGATTTACCAGGTAGGATTTGACATATGAAGACCTCCCCATAATGCTTGTGCTCCAGTTACATCATGCAATGTTTGGCGAGCCACATGGTTGGCCGAGGCTACCGATATTTACGACGTAAATGATCGCAACAGTTTGGTTTGGTGATAATGTTTTCGGAGCTTTAATACCTGATGGCATCTAGCATGGTCTGCATCTTAACCAATGATCCACATACCAGGACAGCTCTGTGTGTGCCGATAACGAACGCTCAATGTCATGTCGGGACACGGAGGCCCGGGTGCGTGCCGGTATTCGGGTCCCCATGGGTGGAATGTGCTCCGGGACAAGCCTTCAGGTCAGGCTCACAGGAGGCAAGTCTTGCTACAAAATTGCTGTCTTTGTACCCCTGTTATGAGTGACCATAATCCATCTCAGATGCTGCGAACTATTATGGGGAGATGAGACCTTTGGTTGTGTCGGTGTGACTAATGATCTCCAAGGAGGACCACCTCAGGGGGGAGGGGGGGACGGTCTGTGTTGTCTGTCATGCCTTTGTGGTGTGCAGTGACCTGTGCGATCTCGGGGCCACCTCGCCCCCTGCGGATTCACTGTTTTTCGGAGGCCCGCGACCGACCGGGAGCAGGCAACACGAAGAGTCCGTGTCCTACGCTCTTGATGAACGCTATCACCAATGCGTCACGGAATGTGAAGAATTAAACTCGTTACTGAACGTACGCCTGCAAGAGCCATGCCTGGCGTTTACACCCCTCTGGGAATGGAGGGTCTCGTTTCCAACTTTTCATGGTACGGATTTGGGGAATCTGGCGCACCATAAGCAGTGTTTTCTATGTGGGCCCTGGCCCCACCTGCTGATCGTGAAATTGCAGATCAACGGCGGGCTTTTGCGGGGCTTGTTGGTTGCGTCATTATATGTCGCAATGCTCGGTGCAATCCATCCTGCCCGCTGGCGTTATGCGGCCTCTACACGGCTAGGGGCGTGTGCAGGAAGTCGCAATGGAGGGGGGGGGGGGGGGGCACAACATACGAATGCGGCGTGTGAAATTGATTTCATGACGCAACACAGGATGCGATGCTTCCGATCTGTTAAGATCTACGGGTGTGCCTCTGAGTTTCTGTTATGAATCTTATTTCACGCACTTAACATGCCTGCCATACATCTGATACGAGAGGAGGCACGTACCCCATGGGGGCTTCGATGTGGATACGCCCGAGTGTAGCCACTGCCACCGCCCGCAGCCTTCCCCAGTCAGGGGCACACAAAAGGGCCTAAAGTGGCTCGAGCTCATCCCGCCACAGGCGGGTGGGTACCTAATTGAGCTGTCGGGACGGGCAATATTCCCTCCCTAGGTCAGTCTTTGCGTGTTTGAATGTCGTCAAACGGTGGTATTTCGTGGAATGGAACTTGGTCATTCCTAAAGCAACCAACACCGTTGAGCAATACCTTTCTTAAATAGGTGTTACATGCTGTAATTATATCGGTCTATTTTCTTGCTTGATTCTACCACAAATAATTTCCAACTGACAGAGATGACCCTAGGGCAGCACTGACTCCAACTGAGGATTGCTAGGCATGAGTCAACCTCTGTTGTCAGTAGCCTCCGAAATGCCACTAATGGGTCATCGGAGGGGCCAGCCCCCCCCCCCCTGCCTCCCCCCTCGGCTTGGTGTCCGTACATGTAAGATCGATATTTCCCTAGGGCCGATCTGCCTTTGGAGTAGTTGCCGGTGCTGTGTGAAGGAGCTCTCGGAATGCTGACGTAATCGTGATCCGCCAGTGTTGTGACACCCGCCAGCGTTTCCGCACTGATTTAATAAGTGCGGCACGGAAATTGGCTAAGGGGTTTACACGCACGGGCTCTGGCATTCCCCTCTGACCACCACGAACTCAATGCGCAATACGCGTGACTAACACGCACAAAGTCGGTTGAATTTGCAATAAAAATTTGCTTCTGCTTCCGAAAAATGTGAATGTTGCACACTGTTTCGTGATGTTGATATGCGGCCTTCTGTGTTTTCAGAGCCTGCCTACATTTCAGGGGTTTTCGAAATTCTTGTGGAACAAACTCTTGATCTCTCCGCAGCATAAAGGTAAGTCATCAGTTGTTGCCCTAATGAATGCGTTAAGGCTTAGTCTGTTCCCTGTATGGCGCTGCGTATACGGCGTGTGATAGTGCTGGTTATCGGTTTATTGCCGATGCGACATTTATCACACGGCTTGTGCGCTATGCTGGCCCGGCGTGAGTGCGGTTTCCTGTGCACCCAAGTGACGTATGATGGGGTTGGGACTCCAGCGGCCAACAATGAGACGAAAGTGTGGGGAGGGGGTGTAAGGGCGAGGCCGACGACCGATGCCTTTTACTGCAGTGAAAGTGGGTCGCATTCGGAGAGAAACCCGTTTACCGGTATTTCGGGGTGAGCTTATACATTTCTCTGTGCTCCCTCCAACCCCCCTCCCCCCCTCCCCTTGCCCAAGCGAATTTGGCGAAACCACGCTCGAGATGCACCACACAAGCTGTCTGCACGCGTTGTTATACGTAATGAGTTTCGTCGGGAGCGTTGGAGCCGGTTCGCAGCTTGATCCGTGCGCAGCTGCAGTGTATGTGCTAGGCCATAGGGGGTTGATGGGTCTGCAGGTAGCGTAGCAGACCTGTGCTGGACTCATCGTGAAGTCAGAATGTCATTCACAGTCAGCTGTCTTGTCCACATACCCTCTTACCATCGAAAGAAGTGTTCTGTGTTCTCTTGTTTGAATTCCACAAAGGACATCGACCGCACTTCAAAGAATCACCCCCTAATCATCGTCATCGAAACCCCAGCATCGGTATCGTTTTCGGAATGATATCGTATCACCTCGAGTTGGCGCCAGCCCAAAATTGTGGCATGTTTCTCGTTGCGGACGGTCAGAATCATGTACGTGCGGTGAATGGACTCGAAATTAACTCCCGGATCGGTGTCAATCGTAAGTGTGTTGCGTGAGAACTTGAACTGGTGTGTGCTGGCAAGGTGATTATTTACTCAAGCCACCTGTTTATAAACGGGCGACGAGGCTTCGGGGTCGCAAGCTTTGTCCTGGCCCGACTTCGAGGGACGAAGGCCGAAGCTTGTCTAGGCTGCCGCGCTATCGTCCTCCTGCTGACCGCTGTGAGTCGCTCAGATCTCAAACTGTATCGCCTTTCCACCGAGGAGCCGCCTTCCGGCGCGGCGCTATTGTCGCCGCCTCGCACGCCGTGCTCGGTTTCAGCGCGGGAAGGCTGCCGTTTCGCTCCGCTCCCCTAAAAACGCCGCTGCCCGCGCCGCTGGACGGACGAGTGGGTTCCTGCCATCACGCACGGCGTAATCGGAGCCGGCCTTCCTCGGAGCGGATCACGCGCTGTTGCCACCCAGGCGCGTCTCGCCCTGTTTTCGACGGCCGGCCGGCCCGCAGCGTTCGGCCGCGTCCGGCGGCGCGCTGCACAGTGGCGCTTGTTATCTCTGTCGGCAGCGGACGCCGTCCGTACGCCGTCGCGCCGTGTTCACGCCAGTCTCGCGGGCCGTGTTTCAGGACGGGTGGGCGCCGACATGGCCACTCGGGCCGCGCCGGCCATGGAGCTGCAGTGAGTGACGGGCCGCTGGGCCGCCGTTAACCGAAGCATGGGCCGATTGTTAACACGGCGTGGTCTTATCTTGGTCTGGACTAACCGAGGCATGGATTTACTATCGGCTGGTGCATGACGGGATCGGTGACGGGCGCTTGGGCTCACCATTAACGGGTGACTGACTCGGTTTGATGTGCCATTCACGATTGCACGTGTGCTCTACCATTCACTCCTAACCATGTGCGTGTGCCCGTGAATGCGCAGATGTTCAACGAGGGCCTCGCCTTTGAAAGTTTAATGCTTGCATGGACTGAATCGGTCGGTTTTCGAAGGCTGTGCCACCGTGCACCAGTACGGATAAGGGATAAGCTGTTGGTTATCGAGATTTAGGGGATGAGTTGGCTTGTTATCTGATGACAGATTTATTCGATAACATTGACTGAATTCACCATGAACTGTTGGATTGAACTGTTGTTCATCGACGCCACTCTTAAAATCTAAATGTTGGTTGGTTGCTTATCGTTGCTGTAGGGCGCCTCAACTGCACGGCCATACGGCCGCCATTTTTAACCTGCCCATACAAATGAGCATTGCTGTATACCTATAGGATATATATATATATATATATATATATATATATATATATATATATATATATATATATGCGTGCGTGCGTGTGTGCGTGTGGTATCTCTCCTGTAGGGCAGGGGAGAATGGGAAAAAGATATATCAATCCCTACTTTATCGTCCCTATCAAACTTTCTGTAAGTGCTTTTTAATTTGTTTGAGGCAACCTTCTGCAGTTGTCTGACTTCCCCATTCCGTTAGCTTTCTGTTAGCCTCGCTGGAAAAGCATTTCTGTCACCATCGCCTTGGGAGAAAGTCTCAGGGACCTATTTAAAACGCCAGGCATAATGCAGGCGGAACACAGCATGAACACGTGCCCGGGTGGCCGGCTAGATACCCTTCGCTCGGGTGGGGGGACAGTTTGACCCCAGTAAGATCTCGGGAACTAAGAAAGCTGGAGACACCAAATTTGCAGGGTGTGTTGACCTGTACGTGAATTCACTTAGGTCAAAGTTTGAGGTCACGAGGTCATGACCTTAGGGTCAAATAAGGTCAAACAGGGTCAAATTCAAGGTTGGTCTTCAAAGTACCTCCAGAACCTAAATAACTTTCTAAGTAAAAGGTCACAAGCTCATTTCAGTTCAGTGACCTTGTTTGACCTTTTGAAGGTCTTGGTGACCAAAATCATATAAGACTGCCCTGAGTTTTGCATTTGATTAAGCGACAGAGATTGCGCCAGGCAGTACGTTCCTAAAAAATGTCCACCTGGGTCATCTTAGGTCAATGACCTATTCTGACATCTAAGAAATCAATGGAAGATGTATGATGCGGTTCCTGCGATCAGTGAATTCAAAATGAGCACCGGAAACTATTCCATACAGCAAGCCCTAGAGCAATAAAACAGGTTTGTTTTGACCTCGGTCTGACGTTCATACCTGATATTAGGTCAACTTAATTTCCTCATTCAACGTTTGTGTTGCCTAATAAAGCATCTCAAAGATGTATGGCGTCGTCTAACACTCCGTTGTTGCATCAGATTGGACGATTCCCTAGAAATTGACCGCTGAAGCAATGGTCTGACTTTGACCTGCCATAGGTCAGTGACCTTGCAAGGTGCATGTAAATTTCTTGCATCAAACGATCCGCTATTCACTTGTCAACAGCTGTGCAAAATTTGGCGCGGCTACGCCGCGCCGTTCGGAAACCATTCTGAAAAACCTTCAGGGGGGTCAATTTGACCCCCACCCGAGCGCGTGTTAAGTAACTGGTAAAAATATCACAAGTAGGTGATGTGCCACCGTTTCAGCCGCCATTTCATCTGCGAAATCGAAGCTATTGAGCTAATGTTACTGTATTGAGGCTAGCTCGTATAGTTAGAAGCACGCGCACCAATACAGCGGGAAAATAGTGATGAGTGACCCACAGTCACTGTCAAACGCTTTGTGGCTGCAGAATAAGGAAATTGAAGGTCCTTTGTGGAATAAAATCGCAAGGGTCAGACTTAGCTAGTCTGCAAGGCCTCTTCAATGAGTCCGCAGGCCCTCAATGAGTCTGCATGTCCTCTCTTATGAGTCTGCAGGCCCTCAGTGAGTCTGCAGGTCGACTCATGAGTCCGCAGGCCCTCTTTAATGAGTCCACAGGCTCTCTTTGATGGGTCCGCTGGCCACGCTCCGCCGCCATCCACTTGCACTTGCCACTTGCCACTTGCACGATGTTCAACGGCGATAAAAGGGCAGTGGAATACTTTGGTAAATGTGTGTCAAATATCTGCTTATGGGGCTATCGATAAGTCCAACCATGTAGAAATAGGCGAACGTCAGTGCCTAGTGATGTATTTAAATGGAATGCGATGTCCAGCTTGACCTTGGATCACGGCAGGAGATATCTCAGAGCAGGATTGTGGAGAGCCCTTTTCGGGATCGAAAATCCTTGGCATACGCTTAATGCTATCGTGAGTGCATGGACCTAGCGTGCAACGTTTGGAATTTGGAGAAGGGCCGACTCTCCGTGCCTTCGGTTGGGATCCCTGGCCTTTCCGAGAATTACCTGTCGCCGTTTGGCATTTTTTTCGTCTCCCCGGACTGGTCACTTGAAGGATTATTCCTTCTCGCCTCGCTCAGCAGGGCGTACTGTGAACGACATGCCATGTTCGGGAGATCGTAGCATTGCGTTGGACGTTTTGTGGGTTTGGCCTGCGTGTTTGGCCAACTTGACTAGTTAGATGGGGCAGCAGGATATCTAAACTACATGCACCTCTGTTTGCAAGCCCATGTTTTCTTCTGATGGGGGCTGCTGAAGACAAGGCACAGAAGCCGAGAGCAAGCATCAAACAAATGTTTTTAGCAGCGATAGCTGGCCCTGCACGGCACCGGTCAAATCTGCCACGTGCTCTCCAAACACGCGCGGAGCTGTGCGCCGGCGGGCTCCGCTGCGGCCTGCACCCTTGAGCAGTGCTAGCTGCAGCCGTGCGACCGTGACCGAGCCACGTCCTCGCTCGGACGTCAGGACCCGACGCCAGCGACCCGATCCACTAGCGGCGACGGCGCAGACGGCGGCGCGCGCCCTCGCCAGCCGACGGCGCGCGCGCGTTACCGGATCGTGGCGGGAGCGAGGTGGGAGGGGCGGCTCGCGCGCCTGGTACACCCGCGCCGGGAATTTGCAATCGGACGGCGGCGGCGGTGGCCGGTCAGCGTCGGCAGACCGCCGCCGGCCGTCCGCCGCTAAATGGGTCGAGGGCGCCGCAGCTGTGCCCCGTCCGAGGCGGCGGGGCGCCGGTGGACAGTGCTTGCGGCGCTGGCGGGCCGTCGCCCCCGTCCGCGGGCGGCTGGCGCCCCGGTGACAGTGTTTGCGGCGCCTGGCGGGGCCGTCGCCGCCGCGCGCCGACATCCCGCGACACGGTGTCCGTAAGCGGCGGCGGGCCCCGCTCCCGGCGCCGTCCGCGGCGGCGCACGTGGGCGGTATCGGCCGTCGGATCACTCGCGGCCGACGTGACCGATCCGGTGCATACACAGACGGGCACACATACACACGGCCGGAGCCCGGGGGCCGCGGGCGGGCGCGGCGAGGTGGCCGAAACGGCGACTCAAGGTCTGGTGGCCGGCCGGCCGCGCCGACCGGCTCGCCAGTGGTGGACGCGCGCTGCTCCCTGGTGCACGGCCCCGTGCCCGCCGCGCCGCCCAGATGGGGTACGGCCACCGTGGTCGAAGCGCGTGGACGAGGTGTACGAGGTGTTTCGTGGTGCCGCCTCCAAAGCGCGCCAAGTACAAAGATGTCTTCCCGTAAGTGGCAGCCGCGCAGTGTTGGGTGGGTGTCGTTTTCACTCGGTGCTCCTGCTGTGTGGCTGGTGGTATTTTGTCAGTGGTTTTGCTGTGCGGAACGTTCATGCTATGTGCTTTGATGGACATGATTTTCCGTGCGGATCACCTCATATTACACCGCCGTCGGATTGCAGTCCACGCGGCCCTCCATCCGTTCTCACTGATATGAGGATATGTCGTGTTTCAATGCAAGGTATTTCAGACACTTTCGATTGGTGATCTGATTGTGTTGTCGGAGTGAGAGGAATGTGCTCAGTGCTTAATGTGGCGCGAGGTGACTGCCGATGTTGGCGCGCTCTGGAACACGTGCCGTGATCATTGGCCTTTAATGTATAGGTAAGTCAATGTTTATGAAGTACGCCCACATTCTCGGCGTGCAGTGCCCAATAGTGCTTTCAACGCACCATCTGTAGCTGTCGAAATCTGGGCCTGGCGGAGAACTAAGGAAAGGCCATATACCATATGAAATACTGGTTGTTGTTGGCTTTTGACATCACGTTGTCCGTTGCAACATCCTTGCGATCTGCTATTGGCGTCAGGCATGTTTACCATGCTGCCGCAGTGCCAACTTCTGGCTGAATTAACGCGCCGAATAGGCGGGCCTGCAGGGCTCTCACCAGGCAGCTGTTGACTTCACGGCTGTGAGCCGACTTCATGCCACCGGTTTGCCCATTTGACTTGCACTCAAGGACGAGCTGCTGGGCTTGCAGGAGTGGCGGCGGTCACGTGCGGTGACTACTGTGAAGTGCGGCTGTCGTTCAAGCGGTCTCAGATGGGATGTGGCACGTCCTGGCTTTCTCGGTAACGTGGACGTGTGTTGGGGTTGGGTATTGTAACAAGCTAGTGCAAATAGCCAAAACACGAAGAGGTGAATGTTTCGTAAGAAAGGTCACTTCCTAAGACGTCCTCCATGCCGACGTGCAGATTATCAGCGAATGGTTTGCGGAGGACTACCGTTGCCGCTGGGGACTCCCGCGGGTAAGAGTGCACTGATGGGAACGCTTCAACGTATCACCAACCCATGCTTGGTGCCTGATAACTTGTCTTTTGCGTCTGTTTACGAACCGAGCACAGTCAAACCCGAAAGGCCATGTTTGGGGGCAGCTGAGCCTGGCCCGCTCGCCGCCGGCCTTGAGCAAATAGAGCAAGGCATCCCCGAGTTTGCATTTCAAAATGCCTCATCGGTGTCCCGCCGTCTCATTTGTGCTAGTCATCGGGCGCGAGTGGACACTTCTTCTTGCAGCGGTGGCCATTTGAAGGCCGGCGCACATTCGTTTTCAAGTGCGCGGCGTGCGGTCGTGACTCGCCGAGTGACCGAGGACCGGTTTGGCGAGGACTGACGGTCGGCCGCACGCTCGCCTGCACGGTGTTGATCAGATCAGCGCGGTGCGATCCGACGGCTCGTGCCGGTTCAGGAATGAACCACTGTGGCCTTAAGCGGATACTACGGGCGGGAACCTGTTACTATGAGCCCACTGCGGATTACCGGAGTGCGCTGCCGTTAAATGCAATGTTTCGCATTTAAAGACATTGAAGCAAGCATCAGATGTGATGAAATGAGCTCACCTTTAGATGTTGGTATACTTTTAGGTGGAAAAGACTGCTCTAGACAACCGAATTTCTCTGTTGAGTAAATATGCTCCCCCAAGAAGTCATTGTTTGTGTCATCGGTCATCGTACCTTGCACAACATTGATTGAGAGCCAACTGGCGGCCGTTATATCCGGAAATCGTGCCTGCAAACGTCATGTACGAACGACACGACAATTATATTCGTATTGGCCTTGATCGCCGCATGGCTAATGGAATGCCATGATTTGAATGACATTGCTATGGCGTCAGGGATACCTGGGAGACCTTGAAACAGTCTGCGGAATAGTCTGCACATCTTCGCGAGCGTATAGCACAGAAACTAGAGAGGTTCAGGTCGTGAAGGGCGGGGCTATGAACTGTACCGAATGATCTTCAAGATGGTTGTTGTAATTCAAAAGCCCATACAAATGTGAAACACACCCTTTAAGCAGGACGAGAACTCACCTAAGCGCTTTGCGTATAACATTCTACTAACATTACATGTATATATATATATATATATATATATATATATATATATATATATATATTACAGCCTCTACAGAATAACACTGCTGCATTAGTGTGAAATTATTTATTGACTAAATTGTTTAAAATATGTCCATTTTGATGTATTCTGTGGACATTAGTGTACCACCGTGTCCAGTATTCTGACATATCCCAGCCAGATGGTTCTTGCATGTGATGTCGGACCCCAGGCCTGTTGTGAGCGACACATCCGAGATGGCCCACGATCTTAGATGTTAGGTGTGCTCGCTGACGCCTACTTATTGGCACTATGTCACGTTTAACCCTTTTCAGTTGAAATCGGTGCTGTGCATCCGTCAGCCGAGCTCCGCTTCCAACGTGTGTTGTCCGCGCGCGGGGCGCCACCCGCTGTCGGGGCGCGTGGTGTCGACCTCGGCGCCCCGGCTCGGTCTGTTGACACCGGGAAATCGGTCAGCGCGTGCCTGCGTCTCGCCGGCTGATAACTCTTCCGCCCCTCCCTCCTCCACAACACCCCGTGGACAGCTGAGGTCCGCGCTGAGGACGGTACGCCGCTCCTGGGTTGTGCGTGGTTTGCTGATTGGCTGTCGCTGTGCTGTGCCGTCGCCGCTGACGCCTCGCCGGCGTTTCAGTGCTTTGGATCGCTACAAATTCTCGTGCAGCTACCCTCCACTGTTCCCTGGAATGGCGTGCCAAGGAACTGGTGACGACCCAGAGGTCCGAGTGCTCAAACTCCATGACGACCACCACCAGGAGGCGACCCTGTATCGGCTGCAGAAAGGTGCGACTTTCGCCGGCCTCGCTGAACTGTGTGTATGCGCGCCGTAGAAGTGGCGCTCGAAGCGCCGTCCTCCCGCTTTTGGGATGACGTCACGGTGTCCGTGACCGCTGTTCGTGCCGGAGTCATTCGTGGCTGTGACCGCTCAGGTAGTGGTGGCCAGGTGCGGTGTAGGGTGGCGCGCCGGCCACCGAGCCCCTGCCGGACCTTGAGCCGCCGTGCTGCGGCGAGGGGGGCCGGCGGCGGCCAGTGACCCCGTCGCGCCACCGTCGGCAGGTTTCATCCTGCACTTCCGTCTGGGCCCGTCGCTGTTCGGCCGCGTGGTGTCCGTGTTCAGCAACCACCCGGCCTCGGCCGACGAGGAGTTTAGCCGCGACAAGTACCGCCTGCTGCCCTGGAAGTCCGACAGCAAGATCATCGACGACACCAGCATCTTCGTGGAGGTCCCGATCGTCCGCGCCGGCTCGTTCCGCTACTTCACGCACACAGAAGGGTGCGTTGAGACCTGACGCGTGTGGCGCGCGACATGATCGCCTCGTTGCGTGGTGCTAGTCGTGTGCGTGTCGGTTCTCTGATGGTGTTCGCCATATGTTGTCGGAGAGCGAGCTGCGCTCCGAACGTGACCACCGACTCGACATCGGCAGCTCGGACCCGAACCCGCGCGGCTCCGGATACTTCGTGGTGGACCCGACCCTGTCGCGCGGCTCCAACAACGAGGTGTTGGGCATGGACTGCATCCTCAGTCAGACGGTGCTGTCCAAGTGTCTGGGTCCGCTGGACCAGTGGGAGGGCCGGCTGGAGGTGGCCCGCCAGACCGGCTACAACATGGTGCACTTCACGCCCGTGCAGGTGGGATGCGCGGCGGCGCCGGGGCCGGGCGCTGTTGGGTCAGGTGCCGCTGGGCCGTCTGCGGTGTTGTGTTCCCAGCTGCTGCTGTCGGGGCTGTGGCCGCCTCCGTGTGCGAGGTCGGAAACGGGAATCGGAGCAACTGTCTGTGTGTGTGTGTGGGGGGGGGGGGGGGTGAATGGGGATGTGGGTGTGGGTAGATGTTATTTTGCTTCTTAACGGCACGTTTTGAGTTTTGCGATTTGTTCGTCGCTTGCATTTAAAGCTCGTGAACCATAAAGTATCGTCTCTCAAAGTGGTTGTGCTTCCACGTCCCGGACCCTCCGTTTCGCTTCATGGTGCTAGGATACAGGGTAACCGCACCACCACTGCTCTGACCACGCGACGTTTGAGAAATCCGGGGACAATACGGATAAGTGTCTGTTGCCAACAGCGTGCCCAGGAGTGCACAGATACAAACGGCATCGTCGGGGAGGGGTGTACAGCGCTGCCGTACCGTGAATACCCAGTCCCCTGGCGTCTGGCAACAGCACAGTGCCTTTGCAGTGCCCTGGGTATCGATACACAGACGCGTCAGCGATGTAAACAGCCGCGAACACGGCTCGGTAACCAGATCCGCATTTCTTAAATGTGTCTGACATCACACTCGATTGGCGGACTTGTGTTGTCAACGTGCACGACGCTGCGCTGGCAGGTCTGAGCAGCGTCATGTGCGACGTCATGCTGACGTCACGATTCTTCTGCACTGAAGCGTGCGTCGCGTATTATTTTTAATTAGTTAATTGGGGGGGGGGCATGGTTCACCGCTTGAGGCCGCACAAGGTGCAGAGATGCTTAACGTTTTGTGTG